CTTCTCTGGACACACTCCAGCCCCTCCATGTCCTTCTGGGAGTGAGGGGCCCAACCCTGAACCCAGCATTCGAGGGGCGGCCTCACCAGTGCCCAGGACAGGGGCACGGTCCCTGCCCTGCTCCTGCTGGCCACACCAGTCCTGATACAAGCTAGGATGCCGTTGGCCCTCTTGGCCACCTGGGCACACTGCTGGCTCCTATTCAGCTGCCTGTCGACTAACACTCCCAGGTCCTTTTCCGCCAGGCAGCTTTCCAGCCACTCTTCCCCACGCCTGTAGGGTTGCATGGGTTTGTTGTGACTCCAGTGCAGGACCCGGCCCTTGGCCTTGTAGAACCTCACACCACTGGCCTGGGAGTCACACTATTCCTGATACAAGCCAGGATGCAGTTGGCCTTCTTGGCCACCTGGGCACACTGCTGGCTCATGTTTAGCCAGCTGTTGACCAGTACCCCAGATTCCTCCAACTGGATTTAACTCCATTGACCACAACCCTTTGGGCCTGGCTATCCAGCCATTTTTTTACCCAGCAAAGAGTATGCCTGTCCAGGCCATGGGCAGCCAGTTTCTCAAGCAGAATGCTGTGGGAAATGGTGTCAAAGGCTTTACTAAAGTCCAGGTATACTACTTCCACAGCCTTTCCTTCATCTATGGGTCACCTGGCCATAGAAAGAGATCAGGTTAGTCAAGCAGGATCTGCCTTTCATGAACCCGTGTTGACTGGACCTGATCCCCTGGTTGTCCTGGACATGCTGTGTGATGGCACTCAGGATGATCTGCTCCATGACCTTACCTGGCACTGAGGTCAGACTGACAGCCCTGTAGTTCCCTGGATCCTTCCTCTGGCTCTTCTTGTAAATGGGCATCACATTTGCCAACCTCCAGTCAAGTAGAACTTCCCCAGTCATCCAGGACTGCTGATAGATGATGGAAAGGGGCTTGGTGAGCACCTTTGCTAGCTTCCTCAGTACCCTTGGGGATCCCAGCCCCATGGACTTGTGTGTGTCTACTTGGCCGAGCAGGTCACGGACCATTTCATCTTGGATCATGGGAGCCTTGTTCTGCTACCCGTCCCTGTCTTCCAGCTCAGGGGGCTGGTACAGCTGACCTTACCATTACAGACTGAGGCAAAGAAGGCATTAAGTACCTCAGCCTTTTCCACTGCCTTTGTCACTGTTTCCCCCTGCATCCAATACAGGGTGGAGATTCTCCTTAGCCCTCTTTTTGTTGCTAATCTATTTATAGAAACATTTTTTATTGTCTTCTATGGCAGTACCTGGATTAAGTTCTAGAAGGGCTTTGGCCCTTCTAATTTTCTTCCTGCATAACGTCACAACATCCCTGTAGTCCTCCTGACTTGCCTGCCCCTCCTTCCAAAGGTCATAAACGCTCCTTTTTCTCTTGAGCTCCAACCAGAGCTCTCTGTTCAGCCAGGCCTGCCCTCTTCCCCACCAGCTCGCCTTTTGGCACATGGGGACAGCCTGCTCCTGCGCCTTTGGATTTTCATTCTTGAAGAACATCCAGCCTTCCTTGCCCTTCAGGACGGCCTCCCAAGGGACTCTGTCAGCCAGGCCCCTAAGTGGGCCAAAGTCTGCCCTCAGGAAGTCTGAGGGAGCAGTTCTGCAGACCCCCCTCCTTACTCTGCCACGAATCAAAAACTCTATCATTTTGTGATCACTGTGCCCAAGATGGCCTCCAGCCATCACATCACCCACCAGTCCTTCTCTGTTCGCAAACAACAGCTCCAGCGGGCGCCTTCCCTAGCTGGCTCCCTCACCAGCTGTGTCAGGAAGTTCTCTATCATCTTCCACCTACTCCAGGAACCTCCCAGGCTGTTTCCTCTCTGCTGTATTGTATTTCCAGCAGGCATCTGGTGAGTTGAAGTCCCCCATGAGAACAAGGGCTAGCGATCGTGAGACTACTCCCAGCTGCTTGTAGAATATTTCATCTGTCTCTTCTTCCTGGTTGGGCGGTCTATAACAGAATCCCACCATGATATCTGCCTTGTTGGCCTTTGCCCTGAGTTTTACCCATAAATACTGGCCCCTATCATCACCATCATTGAGCTCAAGGAAATAAAAACACTCCCTAACATACAGGGCTACCCCACCGCCTCTCCTTCCTTGCCTATCCTGCCTGAAGAGTCTGTAGCCACCCATGGCAGCACTCCAGTTATGGGAGTTGTCCCACCATGTTCCAGTGATGGCAACTCTATCATAGTTTTCCTGCTGCATGATGGCTTCTAATTCCTCCTGTTTGTTGCCCGTGCTGTGAGCATTGGTGTAGATGCACTTCAGTTGGGCTACTGATCCCACCACTCTTCTGAGGGGGGAAGTCTTAAGGGGAGGTATCAGGACACCAGTGTTGGCCACATTTGATACATGAGTCTCCTTAAAACAGATGTTAATTGAGGATGGAAGTGTTGAAGTACCACAATGGTCTGTGGTGTGGTCTGGAAACTGCTATTTGGGTTGCCAACCCAGATACCATGAGCTGCAGTGCAGGGGCTCTGGATGGTCCCATCAGGGCTGGGAGCCAGGGCACCCCCCTGTGTCCTGCAGCCCCTGTGAGACCCCTGCAGTCAGTACTGCCTGACCCCGGTGTGCCCCACAGGGGACAGCAAATTTCTTCCTAAAAATGCCTGTTTCTTGTTGCAAGGTGGGGGAAAAGCATTTTGCTTTCCGCTCTTTAACTTTCAGTGTCCCTGCCCCAGGGGAGCCCTAGGAATGAAATGTCTGGTGGTAATCCATAACAAAGGTTCAGGTCAACATGTGGCTGGGAAGCAGACGTGGGACTTCTGTCCTAGGATGCTGGGGAGAGACAACCTGGCTCAGTGCGTGCATTGTTGTGTCTGGCAGAGCCTGCTGGAGGGGGGTGGCTGTGGGCAGGGTGCAGGAGGAATTGGGGATGAGAAGCGTGGCCAGCAGCCTTGTGCTGTGATCAGACTCAGGTAGGAAGGAGGGATGGGGATGTGGGGCAGGCTGTGGCTGGGAAGGGGCATTAATTGCAAAGCATTGGAGGGGAGAAGGTCAGCTCTCCAGTAACCCCGTGTGAGCTGAGAAACTTCTCCAGTCCAAGGAACATGAACCTTAGCAGACAAATAGTGTCATGATGTGTTGGAACAGCAGAGACCTAGGTGTCCCCAGCCACCCAAGCAGGCATCACTGGAGTGGAGCTTATGTGGAAGGGACAGGAACTTGCACTTGTGCAAATGACTGTGCAAAGCTCTGGGCAGCAGGGAAATGAGATTCAGGCCTTTGGTTGGGAAGGGATGCTGTTGTCCAGAGGGGCTGGCAGACCTCTGGAAGCTAAGAGATGTCCTGCTCCAACCTTGGCTCCAGGTGACCCAGGCTGCTGCTTGTAAAGTGATGGTGGTGAAGATCTACAAGAACGACGTGGACCAAGAGGTGATTGTGCGTGAGATCAGCCTGCTGCAGAAGCTGTCCCACCCCAACATTGTCAGGTGGGCACATACTCTGGCCATGAGCACTGGGTCCTGGCAGGGGCTGGCATTGGCTTGGTGTCTCTAAGGCAGCTCTGCAATGCGGGATTGAGCTGAACCTTGACACCTTCTTTTTTTTTGGATATGTTCTTCTGCTTAGGTACCTTGGGATATGTGTGAAGGATGACAATCTGTACCCCATTCTGGAGGTAAGGGTTCCTTGCATATGTGCGCTGTGGGCAGTCGAGGACTTTGCCTCCCCCTTGGCAGGGAGGATGGTATACTTCCTGTAACACACATCTACGCCTCTGAGACTCCTGTGCCTGTGAATGGCTCTGGACTTGCAGGATTGCCTTGGAGGGGCTTCTGGTCCTTTCTACCCACAGCTGGTCACAGCTGGAGCGGGGCACAGTCACTGCAGGCCATGAGATTCAGCCAGGATAGCTAAGAATTGGTTCAGGTTGGCTTGGTACCAACCAAAGGGCCAGAATGGGTCAGCTGGCGGGAGAAGAGGAGCCAGGGATGGAGGGCAGGAGTAGAAAGTAAAGCAGACAGAGAGTGGCAGGACTTCCAGGGTGGCTCTGGAATGGCAGTGTGGTCTAATGGAAAAGCCTGGGCTGGTATCAGGGGGGTCTCACCGTGTTCTTACACTGTTGGTGGCAGAAGGTGTTGACTGAGCCACTGCCAGGCTTTTGCCTCTAGGTCACTGCCCATGAGTGGGGACCACACCTGGCTTACAGGGCCGTCCCAGCAGTGGGGCAGAGCCCAGAGCCCAGCAGTGACTGGCTGTGCCAGGAGGGGTATTGCACCGTGCCACGCACAGGGGGCCCTGTGTGCAGTGGCATTCCCAACCTCCATCCCGAAGGAGGGGCTCTTGGGTTGGCAAGGGAGGGTTCAGCCCAGGGGAAGCTCCAGGGGAGCCTGGGGCTGGCTGCACAGCCACCTGTGTTTTGTCTCTGTTCACAGTACGTGAATGGGGGGTGCCTGGAGGAGCTCCTGGCCAGCAAAGACATCACTTTGACATGGAAGGAAAAAGTGGACTTAGCTTCTGACATCACCAGAGGCATGATCTACCTGCACTCCAAGAACATCTACCACCGGGATCTCAACTCCAAGGTATGCAGCTGGAAGGGGGATGTCGCCCCCAGACTGCTGAAGGTGACTGTGTTAGGGGACCACAGGGACCACTTAGGGCTGTACCCAGGGGGCCTCTGGCCTCATGCTGGTTCTCTGCTCCATTTTAATCCCTCTGCAGGCAAGGAAGCTTTCTTGATAAAGCCTGTCATTACATGGCATTCATTGCTTGCCAAGCAGGAGACCCAGACAGGGATAAAAATATATTGCTCCTAGTGCTGTTGCTGTCAAAAAAAACCCCACGGATGGAAATGCGTGCAGGGTTGCACATGGTTTTCTTTGCCTACGGTTGCAGGAGAAGCTTTGCCAGATGTAGAGTTTTCCTTTCCTGCTCACAGCAAGGAGGAAGCTGTTGCTGACAGGAGCTGGCCATAGGCTATGGGAGCGAGTGCCATGTGAGATGGTCCCTGCCTGTGTGCGGAGCACCAGCAGAGCTCAGGAGATGTGTTCTGCCTTGATCCAGGGGTCCAGGTCACCAATACTGGGATGGTCACTTCCATCCTGGCAGCAAGCTGGCTGTGAACTATGGCCCCTGGAGACAGGCTTTGGGTGCAGTGCGAAGGCACATCATGTTCCTGGCACATTTGCCCTCTGGCTGCTTGCCTCGGCGTGGGCTCATGGTGCCTGATGGGGGCAGGAGCTGCGCTGGGGCTTTGCCATTCTCAGATTTGTCCATGGGGATGGGCTTTGATGTGGCTTTCCCTCTGCCACTGGTACGGCAGTAGGAACAAGGTGGGGCAATGCCTTGTTGATCTCCCTTGGGCAAAACTGTCCAAACCTCAGGTGGATCTGCAGTGAGTCCATGATATCACAGGGGATGTGAGCTGGAGTTGGCCGCCAGCCTGGACCATATCTGTGTCAGCTGATGCCAGAGGCTGGCTTGGTGATTGATGGGAATGGAGCCTGCAAGTCCTTGCAGTTGATGCTGGATGATGGTGCATCTCTTACAAGCAATTTTTGTTGGTCCTCTGTGAGCTTTTTAAGAGAAGCTTGGAATACTGATGAAGGTTGGCAGTGGGGAAGCCAGTCAAGCATTGCATTCTTGATGTGCTGATGTCTCAATCAGCACAGGAATGAAACTCACCTTTGTAATCTCAGGTTGTTTACTGGGCTCACTTACCAACCATGAAATTGCAAACACCAGGCAAGGACAAGGCAAGAGCCTGGCTCGCTCTGACCGCAGGTCTCTTGGCCAGTGTGCTCTGAAGTCAGGTGAGATGTAATTTCCTATGCGGTGGTGGCTGAGGAGCTGAGGAGCTTTCCAGGTCTGCTTGTAGAAAGTTAGTGGCTACTGGAGGTCCCTGTCCATCCCTTCTTCTCGCTGTCGTGGTTCAGTGATGATGGCTGAAGATACAGGGGAGAAGCATGTACATGCTCACTCGAAATCTAGTTGTTAGTGAGAGCTATCTGGAGAAGATGCCGGTCCTTTCTGCTAGTTCCCTGGGAGCAGATGCCAAAGAGGAAATCCTGGGGAACTGAACAGGCTGAAACTGCTGAGATTTTGAGAAGCCTTAAGATAATTTAATAGGAATTCCTCCAGAATCCATGTTAGGCATGTGTAGCCGTGGGCAGCGAGAAGTGCTGTGACTGAGATCCTGCCTGCCCTCAGCTGAACAGTGAAGGGGGTCAACAGGCACATTTTGAGGTCTCTTTCAGGTAAAAGGATGTGGAACATCACATTCGTTGAACAGCTTCTTCAAAAGACTTTTTCTGGGTTCAGGTGTGATCAGTCCATCCTTAATCTGCCCTGCATGCTCCACGTGTGCTGCCAGGCTGCAGGTCGCTGGTGAGGGCAGAGCCTGGGACGGCGAGGTGGGGCTGAGGGCTGGCTGGATGCCACTCGGTGAAGTGTCCAGGCCCTTCCTCGCTGGGTGTCTCATGCTGTGCCCCGTGGGCTCCTTTCAGAACTGCCTCATCCGAGTGACACCCCGGGGCCGCGAGGCGCTGGTGACTGACTTTGGGCTGGCCAGGGAGGTGGTGGAGCTGCCCATGAAGGATGTGGAGAGGAAGCTGTCTCTGGTGGGCTCTGCTTTCTGGATGGCTCCTGAGATGCTGCGGGGAGAGCCCTATGACCGGAAGGTATGGCACTGCTTCCCAGCTCCTTGTTCATCCTCAGGGCTCCCGAGTGAGCATGGGGCATGTCTCCTCTGCTTGCTGGTGACACTTCCCAACAGCAGAAAAGCCCTTCCCTCCTTCCCCTGGAAATGCTGCCTTGCTACCTGGACCTTGGCTTAGTAATGCTCTGCTTAGCAACTTGGAAGTTCTTTATGAGGCCTTGTTAAGTTAAACTTTTAGGATTGCTGCTGTGGACAAACACAGCGAAGCCTCTCTGAGGAATATGCATGATGAGTTACAGCCCAACAAGCCCGTTTCAGGATCCAGGGGGGATGTCAGGGCTTTGGCAGCACATTGAACAAGAGCACAGGGCCAAGCTTCCTGAAGATGGGGCTGGACTCCAAGTGGGGCTGTGCTGGGTGGGTTCAGAAGCCCAGAAAAAGTTTAGGGGTTTGCTGCCTCCATCTCCAATGGGATTTTTTTATGGGCTTTTGCATAATTAATGGAAGGACCTTGTTGTTGTACTCCCCTTTCTCATGCTTTGCTTCTGTGCATGCCCTGTCCCACCTCCCACTCTCCCCCCCCTCCTGCAGGTGGACGTGTTTTCCTTTGGCATTGTTCTCTGTGAAATCCTGGGCAGGATCCCAGCTGATCCCGAAGTGTTGCCCAGGACTCAGGTAACGATTCTTGCAGCCGAATCTAATGAACAATGTTTTCTCAGTGGTACCAGATTGTGGCTCCTCTCTGGACCAGCCCAACCCGTACACACGTTTACATGTTCACAGTCAGGTTTCTCTCCAGAGGCTGTTCCGTGAGAAGAATCTTATCTCAACATTTTCAATGCACAAGAGCTCAGTGCATCTAAAGTTTCAAAACTTTTGTTAGGTCAACAATTAAGTACTTCTGTCTTAAAGACCTTCATTTCAAATACGTCATTTTGCTTTGACGTTTCAGCTTCTCCGTTGAAGTGGCAGGTTAAATACAACTTTCATCACAACCATTTATTTTCAAATACATTGCAGTTGATACACAGCTCATGTGGAAACACTGGGCTTCCCTGAAAATGTGGCCTTTTTTATTTCAACATTTGCAATGTTTCCCTTCCACAAAATGGGAAGGGAATGTTTGTCCTGAATGGGGATGAAAAATCCAGCGGGAAAACAGTAAATTGGTGCATTCCAAGGAGCAACGCAAAGAACCTGCAGTGACCAGAGATTATTCCATGGTCCTGTGAGATTGAACCTAGTGGCTTTCTATGATGGTGTGACGTCAACGGTGGACAGAGGGAAACCAATGGATGTCATCTATCTGGACTTCTGCAAGGCCTTTGACACGGTCCCCCACAACATCCTTCTCTCTAAATTGGAGAGCTATGGATTTGATGGGTGGACTGTTCGGTGGATAAGGAACTGGCTGGATGGTCGCATCCAGAGGGTAGTGGTCAATGGCTCAATGTCCGGATGGAGATCAGTGACGAGTGGTGTCCCTCAGGGGTCCATACTGGGACCGGTGCTCTTTAACATTTTCATCAATGACTTAGACAGCGAGATCGAGTGCACCCTCAGCAAGTTTGCGGATGACACCAAGCTGAGTGGTGCGGTTGACACACCAGAAGGAAGGGATGTCATCCAAAGAGACCTGGACAGGCTGGAGAGGTGGGCCTGTGTGAACCTCATGAGGTTCAACAAGGCCAAGTGCAAGGTCCTGCACCTGGGTTTTTGGCCAGCAGGTCGAGGGAGGTGATTCTGCCCCTCTACTCAGCTCTGGTGAGACCTCACCTGGAGTACTGCGTCCAGCTCTGGAGCCCTCAGCACAAGAAGGACATGGAACTGTTGGAACGGGTCCAGAGGAGGGCTACAAAAATGATCCGAGGGCTGGAGCACCTCTCCTATGAGGACAGGCTGAGAGAGTTGGGCTTGTTCAGTCTGGAGAAAAGGAGGCTACGGGGAGACCTGATTGCGGCCTTCCAGTACCTAAAGGGGGCCTATAGGAAAGATGGGGAACGTCTTTTTAGTAGGGCCAGCTGTGTTAGGACAAGGGGAAATGGTTTTAAACTAGAACAGGGTAGGTTCAGGCTAGAGGTAAGGAAGAAATTTTTTACAATGAGGGTGGTAAAACACTGGAACAGGTTGCCCAGAGAGGTAGTGGAGGCCCCATCCCTGGGAACATTCAAGGCCAGGTTGGATGGGGCTCTGAGCAATCTGATCTAGTCAGCAGTGTCCCTGCTCACTGCAGGGGGGTTGGACTAGATGACCACTAGTGGTCCCTTCCAACCCTAAACATTCTATGATTCTATGATTCTATGATTCTATGAACAGGAACTACAGCTCCATCCAGTTGGCGGCCGATCACTCAGTTGGCGGCCGGTCACAGGCAGTGTTCCCCAGGGGTCAGTTCTAGGGCCGGTCTTGTTTAACATCTTCATCAATGACCTGGATGCGGGCATCAAAGACACCCTCAGTCAGTTTGCAGATGATACCAAACTGGGCCGGAGTGTGGATCTGCTGGAGGGGAGGAGGGCTCTGCAGAGGGACCTGGCCAGGCTGGATCCATGG